CCCCCCCCTTTTAAAGATTACACAAAACCAAAAGTTTTTCATTATATTATTCAATATGCTGTCTGCTTTTCCTTCCCGGTTGGATTATGATATTATGAGCTTACGGAATGAAAGAGTTTACACGATGGCATATTATGAATGCCGCCATCACGGTTAACACAACTTTTGCTTCGTAAAGAAATACCAGTTTTCATTTACACGCACTTTATTATCTCAGTTACTGTTTATGTCATAAGTGTAACATCATAGTTTATTCAGATACGACGTTCTCGGTTGGACATTTGTTTAATTCTGTAAGCTGGCAACTCGACATAATGTAAATTTATCTGTAACATTAGATACTTTCCCCCTTGTTGGTAAAGCCTCTCATCAGCATGAATTACGGGTGAGAAAAGGATGGGATATACATGTGTATTCCATTGAACATCCATCTTCTTTTATTTGGAATGTACACAAACAGGACTAGGCTGGCACGGTTAACATATACTGCCGACTGTATGATCTAAACTGTGTCAATGAGGAAGCAAAACGTTATGTATAATGTATTCTTTATCCAAGCGATGCGTTTGGCTTTTTCAAATTGTGTTCGTTTGTAAGTTGGGGATTTCTCATACTGTTCATGCTGACTCAGGGAACCAATAAAAATGATTTACTCTCAGAGACATCTACTCACCAGGAGTGATGCCACGAACACGATCTGAACTATTCTAAATGTTGGGTTTTTTCCCACCTCCACATAAATAAATATTGGTAAATTCTTCAGGCCCACTTTCTGGCCAGGTCTCGTGTGTAAAGTTAGACTGTCTTTATGCGTTGTAAGCCAGATTGATGGCTAATTGAGATTGCTTGAGGTGACTGAATCTTGTCTTTGGAGCTTAACACAGGAAGAAACAGGATTTATTTTCTGTCCTTCTTTTCTTTTCTTTTTTTCCTTCATTTTTCTTTTTTCTTTCTTTTTCTTTTGGAGGTGGGTGGGTTGGGGGTTTGTTTTATTTCGTTTAGTTTTATTTTGCTTTGTTTTGTTTTCGGGGGGCGGGGAGAATTTGGAAGGGAGGGAAAAGAAACAAAAACAAGAAAAAGGTGTGTATGGGGGAGGGGGGTGCCTAAAAAAATGGGAGGTGGAGGGAGGCAGAGGAGAGTCTAAGACACGCCCTGGGGTCCCAAGGGTCCTGGCCTTGACAGAGGTTTAATTGAGGGGTCCGGGCCCACGGGCAATTCGCGCCACCCCCTGGACTGTGTGTTGATTGGCTGACGTCCCCTGGAGGGGTGGACAGCTCTTGGGTGATGCAGGGGTCGGGGAACCGGCCGCTAATGACTCGCTGACAGAGCACTCTTTCATTCTGCACACACTCTCGCCTTAAATGTAGTGTACACTAGTCTAATTTTGCAGAATTAGTGCAAACTTGGCATCTGTTCTGGTCAGATCTGTCAAAATTTACGCCCGTTCGAATTCATTGTGTCTGATTTATGTGGCATATTGAGTACGAGTATCGAGTATAAACTGAGGGTGACCGAAAAAAGGGAGTTATTATTTTTTTGTTTATGTTT